CAACTAAGGGCCGACTTTTGATAAGATCAGATTTCGGTAGTTGATGTGGAAAGCACACTTTGTTGGTTACTTGAAGATTATTTTACCAATAGTAGTTAATGACTTGTCTAAGTGGGAGAATATTTGAAATAGGTGTCCAATGTCATAACTAATTGGTATAACTTTGGGAATAATAACAAAGTCCCTTTTTGGTTAGCACTCAAAAGCTAAAATAGCTAGAACTAATTATAGCGATTGAGATAAATAGTTTATTAATTTATTACATGTTAATAACTTAATTAGAAACTAGTTAAAATTAACTAGAATTAGTTTAGAATTAATTTTGGAATTAATTGGATTTTATTTAAAGGTAAAAGGGTTGAATGGTAATTGTTAAATATTTGAGCAAAGGAATATTTTGGATGGTCCATAAGAGTGGATGGTTTTATGGAGGTTCCAAACACATTCCAAAAGCAATTCAGGTAACAGACAAGGAAAAGATTTGAATCAGTATTAAATATGATTATTTAATTGATTCAAATCATGGTTATAGGATCGATCATGTATGTTATGACTTGTACTCTCCCTGATGTGGCTTATGCTTTGAGAATGGTTAGTTGATATCAGGAAAATCCTGGCACGGCTCATTGGACATCAATGAAAAATATAGGGATGCCAGCTTTCAAACAGATCAGGATAATAATTATTTCGCAATCTGGTTGGATATTCCTATTAAATGGTGGAGCGGTAACTTGGAAATGTTCCAAGCAACAAATGGTTGTTGATTCTACTTGTGAATCAGCGTACATCGCAGGGAGCAAGGCGGAAAAGGAAGTAACTTGGTGAAATATATTCATTGGAGACCATGGAGTTGTTCCATCAATCCAAGAGCCCATAGAGATTTTCTGCGACAACGAAGGTGTAGTTGCTTTGGCAAAAGAACCAAAGTATCATGGGAGATTGATGCACATTGAAAGAAAATACCATTACATCCGAAATCAACTTGAAGAGGGAAAGATCGTGGTGAATTGTGTATCATCAAAGGATAATCCTATTGATCCTTTCACAAAGAGATTAAGCTAGATCAATCACTTCGAACATGATAGGAGCATTGGCTTAAGAGATGATATTAAGTTTTAGTAAATAGTTGATAGTTTTGAAATAATGTAACAAAGTAAAATTGGTTTTCTGTTAAATAGTTGATGTATAAAATATATGAATAAATCAATTTTTTTTAAATATAATCATTTATCTTGAATATTTTTAAATTAATGATCTGTTTTTACAATAACTAACTGTAGAATGTTAAGAACAGACATTAGTCATATTCGATAGAACCATAGTCTTTGATGTTTTGTGTATCTCAAAGATGGTAATCACATTTGATTAAAACACAATGTTGGATGTTTATGTGTCTAATCACATGTGATTGAAGTATACCTTTTTCAGTTCTCATGTGATAAAGTACTAATTTTTATAAACATATGTTAATCACATATGATTAAATAAGTGTGGCATGTTTATGTATCTAATCACATGTGATTGAATTATACATTTTTTTATTTTCTTTTTCGATGTCTTCTCTGTTGTTTCCTCTTCTGTAATTTCTTTTTTCATATGATTTAAACCAAGCCATGATAAATAAGGATACAGTTTTCATAACATATGTTAATCACATATGATTAAACCATAGTCTTCGATGTTTTGTGTGTGTCAAAGATGGTAAAATATGTTAATCACATGTAATAAACAAAGTTATGATAAATAAACACACATTTTTCATAAAAGATGTTAATCACATGTGATTGAATCTTTTTGTGTATATTTCATATGGTAATCACATGTGATTATAACACACTGTGAGTTATTTATGTGTATAATAACATCTGATTTGATGTATAAAACATGTTTATGTCTCTGAGCAGTTGTAATTGAATTATACCTTTTTCATTCTTTCTTTTGATCTTGTCTCCATTGTTTTTTCCCAGTCACCTTTTTATTTTAAATTTGCTTTAGGATTTTCTAAGATGTATATATATATATATATATATATAATATATATATATATATATATATATATATATATATAATTAGAAAATCACATATTATTAAAACAAGTCATGATAAATAAACTACAATGTTCATAGCATATGCTAATCACATGTGATTAAAACATAGTGTATGATTTTTATTTGTATAATCATATGTGATTGAAATTATAAAATATGTTTAAGTCTCTAATCACACGTGATTGAATTATACCTTTGTCATGTTTCTTTTCTGATCGGATATCAGTTGTTTCTTCTTCAGTCACTTTCTGTTCTTTTAGTTGAGGATCCTCTAATATGTATAGATACAAATATAATCATAGAATCAAATATGAATATATGATTAAACCAATTTATTATTAATAAAGCTTTGATAATAGATGATAATCACATGTGATTTGTTATATTTATGTATATGAAAGATGGTAAACAGATTTGATTGAACTAGAGTGTGGGTTGTTTATGTTTATAATTATTTGTGAATAAAGTGTGCCTTTTTCAACTATCCTTTTGGCTGTTTGTTTCTGTCATCTTTTTTTATAGTACTCTCTATCGGTTGTTCTTTATAATGTTCTGAAATATATAAATATAAATATTATCATAAAATCACATATAATTAAATATAGTCATGATAAATAAGCATTCAATGTTCATAATAGATTTTAATCACATGTAATTGAACTCTTTGTGTATATAATCACATGTAATTGAATCACTTTGTGTATATAAGATATTGTAGTCACATGTGATTAAACCAGAGTTTGAGATGTTTATGTATATAATCATGTGTGATTAATGAATAAAAGTGGTTTTTCTCATCACATATGATTTTAATCATATATATGCTGAAACTTTTATGATTATTATAGATGTAAATCATATATGATTAAAAACCAAATATTATCAAATTTAAGTCTTCAAAATAGATGCTAATTACATGTGGTTGAATGTAAATCATATATATGATTTTTATTATATATTACTAAAACATATATTATGAGAAAATCATATATGATTAAACATCAAAAAATCATATATGATTAAACACAATCAAATGTATGATTATAACACAATGTTAATCATATGTGATTTAAAACACGGTATTATCAAATGAAGTATTAAACATATTTATTACCTTTATCGTCTAATTTTTTCTCATTTTTTCTTTTGTATATTTTTTCGAATTTTTTTGGTTTTTCTGCATGTATAACGCGATATTATTAACGGCATACTCGATAGATAAGAAAAATAAAAATTCATTAATGAACAAATTGAGCATAACAATAAAAAAACCCTGGATAATAGTTAAAGTCTAATATTATTCAACTCAAATAATTCAACAAATTTTCCGATTTCTAAAGTAGATGAAAAAATATTAAATACGAGTGGAAATGTCAAATACGGTTAAAATCTAGTGTTATTCAACTCAAATCATTTAATAAATGTTTCGATTTCTAAAGCATCTGAAAAAAAAAATTCAAATACAAGTGGAAATGTCAAATACAAATGTTTTAAGTATAAAAAAATCACGTAATGTAAATTTCTTTTAGCTTTAGATGAAGCTGTTGTTGTTGCAAACTCCATTGAGGAAGACATTGTTGTCTTTATCAAGTTTTCGTGTGCGATTCAGTAACGATCGTAAAATTTTAGAGTTTTTTTTCGAATATGGTGATATGAGAGGTAATAACGATATGCACACGAATCCAATCAATTATAATATATTTTACTATAATAGTCCCATGTATTTTTGAATCTTTCACATTTGCATCTACATTTTCACTTATTTACAATATTGTCACCTTGTTAAATTAAAAGTTAAACTTTTGTTCTTGCATTTTCAAATTAAGAATTGTTGCACGGCCATATATATATATATATATATATATATATATATATATAGATATATATATATATATATATATAATATATATATATATATATATATATAGGCTTAGATTATTTTGTTTAAAGTAATTATTGTGTTATTGTATGCATAAATATGAGCCAATCATTTTATTTATTTTAAGAAAGTGATTAATACATATTATTGAATTAAAAATAATCGAAAAATACCATCTAATTAACTAGAATGATATTTTAGTCAATTAATATAGATTTAATAAAATGAAATTTGCATATTTTAAGGGATCATAGATTCTATTACTTTTAAAAATCCGATTTTATGAATTATAAGGTTTTTAATTCGGACATTCTGCCAGAATATTTTTGAGTAAGTTCAAAAATAAAAATATTCTTGAACCATAAAATAATAAAAATATTTGTTGAACATATTTTTTGATCATGACTTTAAAAATTTCTTGTAGAATAACAAAATTCTCGAACCATCAATTGAAGAATTAAAACAAGAATTACATTAATTCTTATAGAATACATGTCACAATTGCTAAGAATTGCATTTATTGGTAAAGAATAAAACTAAAAAACTTTCAAATAGGGAAAAAAAACATCAAAATTTGACAAATACAATAATAAATTCTAAAAGAATAATATTGCTAAGAAACACTTTCAATTTTGTTGTCCGTTCTTCAAGCATCAACTTCTTCAAGCATCAACTTTTTCAAGCATCAACTTCTGTGAAAACAAATCCAATTGTAGTTTAGAATCCAATAACGCATTAGCAAATGATAAATAAAAAACTATATTCGTTTGGAAAAATATGCGGACTTGTTAATTGCACCAAAACCAATAACCAAAAATTGTAGAACATGTATAATCAATGAGAAAAATATCCATATTACATTCAAATAGAAATTGAATTCGTGTTTCCATTCCGATAGAATTTGAATTCGTGATTCCATTCTGATAGAATTGGAATTGTATAAAATACACAAACCACTAAGGAATTTGAATTTGTGATTCCATTCCGATAGAATTTGAATTCCGATAGAATTTGAATTCGAATTGAATTTGAAAAGTAGAGAATACCTCCCGACAGGTGACTTGAAGTTGTTTTCATTGATAGAAATTATATGTTTGAAGAAGTTTTATTGCCAAAGCATTTTCAATTTCTATTTTGTTTTCCACCTCTTCCTATAAAAATAAAAATAAAAATTCATTACATAAAAAGAACAAAAAGTTACTTATAAGACTAGAAAAGGCCCCATTTGTTACTTAAAACAAACCTGACTTTTGTGAAAGGTGTGAGCCTGTTGTTCTTGCCATTCTTGATATGTTGTGTATAATTCCATTAGCACTTTAGGATCCATAATAACTGTTAACAAAAATCAAAGATCAATATAAAAGATTTGTCAACCAAAGTTATGTTGATGTAACAATAGTAAATACAACTATAATAGTAAGAATTATAACTAAAAGATTTAGGATTTCTTGACTAAATAAGATTAATGAAGAAAATGCACCTGTATTTGAGGAAGTTGAGGGTCGATTGACCAAAATATCTGTCAAGCTACTCTTTGAGGGTTCAGATGTCAATATGGAAGTTGCCTGTTTGAGAAATTCAAACATGTGAATAACAAGAAACCGATTTAAAGTAAATCAAGACACATTTTGGTGTTGAACGTATTAAAATCGATGTAGTTTTTTCGATCTGAAAATCATATGATCTGATACAAACATGCGAGTTAAAAACCTAATCAAATGTTAATCAGAGACAAACTCACAATTTGGAGCGAATTAAGCTTCTCTAGAACGGGATCAGCGCTTTCTAATCACTCAGAGACAATGGTGATTCCATCGTCCCCTTTCTTTACATAAAACAAATTTACAGCAGTGAAAATTTTAAAAATTGAAAGATAATTGAAGTTCGAGTGAAATAGGTTGGAGAGTTGGGTTACTTGTGACCTTGAAAGTGTAGATTCCGATGAACCCATGGCCAAATGCTTCCGTGAAGGTGAAGAAATACGATGAATACCTTATATTACTGTCAGTTAGAAGTTGCATTCCATTTGGACGAATTCAGTGAATCAGACGCCGATTGAGGGTGGAGATGTTTTACCGGCGGCCATAACAGCGAACTGCGGCTGGAGATCGGCGGCAACAGCAAACAATGGTGGTGGCGGCAACAGCAAATGATGGTGGTGGATCTTCTGTGGGCGTTGGTCGATGGAGTGACTTGTAGGTTTTATAAACTAGTGAAATTAGGTTAAAAGTCAAATACCATGATTACAGGGATTATTTTTGGTAGTTACTAAACAAATTACTATATTACCCTTATTTATTTATTTAATTATTTAATTTTTTTATTTAATTTTGATTGACCCACATTTATGCATACAATAACACAATAAATACTTTAAACACCTGAACCTATATATATATATATATATATATATATATATATATATATATATATATATATATATATATATATATATATATATACAGAGAGAGAGAGAGAGAAACGTTCAATTGAAAAAAAAAAGTTGTAAATGGGGGAATCAATTTCAGCCACTCATTTATATCTTGTCGTAAAACCCCCTGTCATACCGACGTGACGAAGGATAGATAAACTTCATATGTTAATATAAATTTGCATATATTCATATATGAATCTACCACCTCCCATCTCCTCTAATACCTCCCCGCTACCACTTTCACCACCTTTACCACCACCACCACCTTCTCCACCGCTACTGCCACCTCCCCAACCACTAGCCATCACCACCACCACTACCACCCCACCACTATCCAAGTGACCGCCTCTGACACCGCTGCCACGACAATGACCTTCTCCACCATCCATACCACCACCACCGTCGCCGTTGCCACAACTACCCCCGCCATGGCAACAACCGCCACCGCCACCACTATCGTCACCGCTACCCCTGCCACTGCCACCAACTTTGCCTCCACCCGTCATATTGATATATAAATAATTACTTGTGAATAGAGACATACTTTTTCATATATATATATATATATATATATATATATATATATATATATATAAAAGAATAATTATATACTTATTCATAAATAAATACGTATTCATATATGAATAAAATTTGTTCTGTCTTTCCAGTACGCTGAAACGTTTATGCGGGAGATTCGAAATGAGTGTCCCAGATTTATTTTCGCTTTCTCAACCATCCCCCTTCTTCTCTCTCTCTCTCTCTCTCTATATATATATATATATATATATATATATATATATATATATATATATATAGAGAGAGAGAGAGAGAGAGAGCTAGGTTCATTTGTTTAAACTAATTATTGTGTTATTGTATGCATAAATGTGGGCCAATCATTTCAAAAACTTAAATAAGGATATATAATCTTACCTGTTAATTAATTTTGTTAATTAAATAAAAATTTAATTAATCCCTAAAATATTGGATTGCTTTCCTTTAAATCCCTTGAAACCGTTACTACTTCTTTATCACCGATTCATCCCTACTTTTTCAACCTAACCGATGTCGATGATTGAAGAAGATAAGTGGCTGGAGCTTGCCCGTTCGCCGACCAACACCATCAGCCACCACCGAGCCACCATCGCCACCGAACTCACCAGAATTTGCAGGTCAAGAAGCGAAAGTCAGGGGAAATCGGTTTCGCTCTGTAACACTTTCGTTCATGTTCAAGCTTTATATTCTGCTTTCGTTTGTTGATTATGATTTTCACTAGGAATCAAATTCGCACAAGCCACTTTCGTTCGGAGATCAGTCGCACACTTAGAACGATGTGTAATCTTTAGAATCACAGTTCTTGACTCGATTTTGAAATCGCATTAACCCTAAACGAAGGCTCGCTTATAATTGAATGTGTAATTGATTTGGAATCGGGAGGTAAAACAGAAATCGATCATATCAGCCTTCAGCGATTTCGAATATTACTAACTTGGGATTGAATGTTGCAACTAAAATCATTCAGAAGCAAAAATCGGTATTATCGTTCACTGTTCGAGCATCAGAGGATAGAAAATTGGTTTGTGTATTGCAAGCGTCATTGGAAGTCGAAATCATATTTTCAAAATCCGGATCAATCACGATCGGAATTGAATTTAGAACATACATCGGGTTTAATGGATGTCAATCAGAATTCATGATAGATGTGAAGTGGTTCAATTTTGACTTTTCCTAAGTCAAACGGGGTATTCTTGTGTTCCAACTTCAAGGTTGGGATTCCAGTGCTTTTGGAAGATGGTATTCAGATCCTTGTTTATGCTGGGGAATATGATTTTATTTGCAATTGGTTAGGTAAGATACGAATTCCAATTCTGTTGGAATGGAATCACGAATTCCAATTCTGTTGGAATCACAGAAGTTGATGCTTGAAGAACGGACCACAAAATTGAAACGAACCACATTATTCTTTTAGAATGTATTACTCGTTGTTAGATTTTGATGTTTTCTTTTAGAATGGAATCACGAATTCCAATTCTGTTTTCTCCAAGAAGTTTTTAAGGTTATTTTTAAACTGATGGTTCAAAACTATTGTTTGTCTTCAAAATATTCATTCATTCAAAACATTTATTTTGTCAGAATAGATAATCTGACATTCTCATAGAATATCATTCTAACAGAATTATCTTAGAATTATAATCTAATTAATTAAAAAAATGAAAATTCAAAATTAAGAAAATCAAATATATCTAAAAATTCGAAACTTTTTATTAATTAAACTTGTGTTTCCTAATTAGTAATTTTTTGGTAAATTAAGAAAGTGAATGTTACCTATTTATGCATACAATAACACAATAATTACTTTGAATAGAATAACCTAAGCCTAGATATATATATATATATATATATATATATATATATATATATATATATATATATATATATATATATATATATATATATATATATTTCAACTTTGTCGACTTAAAATGATGTACTACTTTTAGGCTGGCTAGTGCATAACATGTTTAGGTTTTAAATTTATGTTTATATATGGGAAAAATGATATATTAAACAAATTATTTAAATTCAAAAGATGGGATGCTCTTTATGGTGTGAATCCACTAAAACACAGTTCGCAAAGTTTTGGATTGTTATTTAGCAAGTGTAGTGGAATGATTACTATGGATGTGGGTCCAATTTTATTAATTCAAGTATCCAAAGTATGATATTTTTTTAATTTACACAACAATGGTATGTGATACACATGATGATGATAAACGGAATAAAGAAAACATTCACATATATATATATATATATATATATATATATATATATATATATATATATATATATATATATATATATATATATTTTAGTGAATTTAGTAGGACCGTTTTGAGCACGGTCCATGAAAAGTAATTTCCGAATTTAAAAAAAAAAGACAGTGGTCTTAAAGTGTTCCAAATGAGTTAAATTCCATTGCTTAAGACGAGCAGGAATGGTTTATTAAGAACAATAAAGACATTTTTTCAAATTAAGCCAAAAGTTGATATTTTCATATACCTTGTAATGTAGTATGATTTTGTATCAAAAAGCATTAAAAGAAAAAACAAAAAGTTGGTACAAAAGAGAAGCGGCAGTTGAACTCCTATCCAATCTTAAAAGCTTAGAAGAGCATGCTTGATTAAGCTGTTTAAAACATATATAGACCATAGTGTAACTGTTGCATCTTATACCATGAGTATTGTAGTGGCGCCAACAAATAAGTGGTACTATTTTTTGATCCCAAGTATGACAGCACCAGGTTCATCTTGTCCCTCAAAGTTGTATATGTATCTTGTTGTGTCAGAATATCGCATTTTCTCCCCAAAAGCTTCTAATATTAAATATTTAAATCTATTTTTAATAAAAGACTCCTTAAACCGCTACGTGTCACCCTTATAATCCACCTTCTTGCCACATGTCACTACCACAGCTACGTTTTGCTTTCTTTTCCCGCCCATTCCTTGCTTCAAATGTCGACATCATCAGCTCCTATTAATCAGCAAATCAGTTTTAATACTCCATTTACTTCCCTTAAAAACATTGAAATTTCATTTTATTTTTGTAAATACAATAAGAATAGAGATATCAGATATGATATCCCCTAAAATCAGGTATTGATATTTCAATTACCTTATCTTATACGAAATATATCTCCAACATAATAGGAATTCAATCATAAGGGTGATTAATTACGTAGATTTTTAATATTTAAAATTCGATTTGGATTATATATGTTTACCTTTTCAGTAGACTTATAAATATTGATCCCCTAAAATTGTTTTCTTCATTGGCATCTTCAAAGCTTTCAATCGATAATTCTTCTGAATCTCTGCAAACTACCCTCTGCATTCACATCAGGTTAGTATAAACAAATAATTGTTCAATGATTTATGTTTATGTGATGTGATCTACATTATGTTATTTACTTTATTTATTTTTTCTGCTCCTCCTGTTACGATTCTGATGTACCATCCTCTCAACAAGTATGTGGTAAAGGAAAGGTAAACTCACATAGTTAAAACACACACAAACTTAGATACACAGATTACACACACATTCAAAATACGTTTTATTGGGATAAATTGGTAAATTCATCTGGTTTGGCCTTGCAAAAAAAAAAAATGCAGAACATTGGAAAATGCATAAAAAGGTTAAAAGATTGTACATTTGAATTCACCACGGTTGGATGTAAGTGGTTAAGCAACAAATTATAATCATTTATTTGAATCATGATTTAATCAAACCAAGCGGGAAATCTCCCATCCGAAAATTCATTTACACTAGCTGCAACTAAATTTTTTTCAGGATATACAGAGATAAATTCAGGATTTGTTTATTCACTACAATCAAATGTTATATACTAAGATTGAACCGGTAGAAAGTATTCCACCTGATTACAAACAATTTGCAGCTTCCTACAAAAAGCCCTAATTACTTACCAATTAAAATAACATAGTCGGTTCAATATTAGCCAGAAATTCCTCACTTTCTTTCTGAAATCGCAGCAAATCGAACCTCTTTTGACCATTTTTCTTCCGAAGCTGCACA